TCGTGTATGTATTTACATGCATATATCTCTTTAATTTTGAGTATTCTACATTCGACTGATGATTTTAAATTTCGAGGACGAAATTTTCTTAAGGTGGGTAGATTGTGACAACCCGTTCCAAATTTTACGTTTTTATTTTATTTTAAAAGCGTGAATTTACAAAATTGCCCTAGAGGCAAGGACTTTGACTTCCGTTGACCATCGACTCGAGAGATGTGGGCCTTATTCTTTTAGCATATCCTTGTAGTACTTATTGGTACGAACGTGTTGGCGAAAGTTGTTTGCGAGTCCGGATTATAACGGTATAGTTACGGACGTTCGAAATTGGTTATTCAAGGTTTAACGTTTATTTAAATTAAACTCCCCCTTGTGGGGAAAGGCCCAATCAGAATTGGAAGAAAGAAAAGGCAAAAAAAAAAAAAAAAAAAAAAGTGGGTTTCGTCCACCCGCACCACCGCGGGTGCCCATTTTCCGAGGCCGATTCCGGCCAACTCCGGTGGAGTTTTTCGATGCCACCACCACCATCTTGAAGCTCTCATTCCCCTCTACAAAACCCACCCAAGAACCACCTTGATTAACCATGGTATGAGGCGGTTTGAGGCCACGAAAGTTGACGAAAATCAATGGTGCTCCGGCCACCCTTTTCGATTTTCCGGCAAATCGGCAAAGCAATGGCCGATGCCACCACTTGGGCTTTGTAGCCCATCATCCCAGGAGCAAAACCCAACCAACCTTGACCCCGTTGGACCACCGTGGACGACGAATCGACGTCGGGAAGTTTTAGGCACCCGCCGGCTTCGTGGGCAAAATTGACCATCTTCCGTCCATTTTTGGACTTCGTGGCAGGTATGAAAGTTGCTCCACTCACTGAGATCTTCATTTCTGTGAAGTTTGAGAATTTTTGGAAATAGTTGGATTTTCCGGTGAGTCGGGGCGGCCGACCGCCACCCGCGGCGGCGCGTGCAGCGGCGCGTGCAGCGGCGCGTGGCCAGTGGGCCGCCAATGTTATTTTTAGGCTATGTCAAATGTTTTGAATTCAGTTTTGTCATTTGAATGACGTAGGTTGATAGTTGGAACCTAAATTCGTTACGATACGTTACTTGATAAAAATGTGAATCGATGATCCGACCGTTGGATCGTCACCAAAATTGGATACATTATAATACGTAATATTTAAAGATCATAGGAATTTACGGATCGGGAATCCGACTTACGGATCTTCCTGAATTGGATTTGTAAGTTAGTAAAATAAATGTTCATGGCCACTTGTTTTAGGCAATTGGCGGAGATCTGACCGTTGGATCGTAATGAAATTTTAATATGTTATTCTAGAAATATATTGTGGATCGTTGGGAGTTACGGATTGAAAATCGGATATGCGGATCTTCCGGGTCAAGTTATACAAGGTTGTAAACCCTACCGTCGATCTTTGATCGACGGTTGACTTGTGGTCAATAGGTCTCAACCTATTTTAGAATGTCGTTGATGTTTTGTTTTATGTGAATTGCATATTCTTCAGATAAGAGTTCTGAGATGTGATTTGATAATTGGTCACAGGGACCGATCATTCAGGACACCTCGATACGCGTGCTAGTGTAGTATAGCGTGGACTCCAGGTGAGTAGATCTTTTCCTTTTTATCGTACATATTGTTGAGAATTCTATCGACACTTTTAAATTGATTAGGTATATTACCTTCGTATAATTATTGCGAATGCTTAAAGTACCTATATGAACTACGAATGGCTTGATCCCTGTCTAGGGTACGTAGGCAGTCTAACGAGACGTTAGATCCAGCCATAAAATATTTGAGACAAAAGCCTTGCTTGGGAAATTAAGTAATGCGAAGGAAATTGGTAAAGACAAGTTTTAGTTTTATGAATTAGTTGGTTAAATTAGTGTTAATTCCTCTGAAAATAAGTAGTTTGGGAGTAGGGCGTTACTGATTGTACACTTCACACCATATTATTTATAATTGAAAATGCTACGACATGGTTCAGTATTAGATCGCATCATGTTATATCAATATGTATATTACTTGCATATAATTATTGAGAATGCTTTCAAGTGCAAGGTGAACGCAGGATTGACGAGATATGGATAAGTCGTACAGGTCACTATAGGTGACTCCGACTTACATGCTATCTAGGATTGACGAGAAGTGGATAAGTCGTACAGGTCACTATAGGTGACTCCGACTTACATGCTATCCAGGATTGACGAGATATGGATAAGTCGTACAGGTCACTATAGGTGACTCCGACTTATATGCTAGCCAGGATTGACGAGATGTGGATAAGTCGTACAGGTCACTATAGGTGACTCCGACTTATATGCTAGCCAGGATTGACGAGATGTGGATAAGTCGTACAGGTCACTATAGGTGACTCCGACTTATATGCTAGCCAGTGACCTGTACGACTTATATGCTAGCCAGGATTGACGAGATGTGGATAAGTCGTACAGGTCACTATAGGTGACTCCGACTTACATGCTATCCAGGATTGACGAGATATGGATAAGTCGTACAGGTCACTATAGGTGACTCCGACTTATATGCTAGCCAGGATTGACGAGATGTGGATAAGTCGTACAGGTCACTATAGGTGACTCCGACGACTTATATGCTAGCCAGGATTGACGAGATGTGGATAAGTCGTACAGGTCACTATAGGTGACTCCGACTTATATGCTAGCCAGGATTGACGAGATGTGGATAAGTCGTACAGGTCACTATAGGTGACTCCGACTTATATGCTAGCCAGGATTGACGAGATGTGGATAAGTCGTACAGGTCACTATAGGTGACTCCGACTTACATGCTATCCAGGATTGACGAGATATGGATAAGTCGTACAGGTCACTATAGGTGACTCCGACTTATATGCTAGCCAGGATTGACGAGATGTGGATAAGTCGTACAGGTCACTATAGGTGACTCCGACTTACATGCTAGCCAGGATTGACGAGATGTGGATAAGTCGTACAGGTCACTATAGGTGACTCCGACTTACATGCTAGCCAGGATTGACGAGATGTGGATAAGTCGTACAGGTCACTATAGGTGACTCCGACTTATATACTAGCCATGATTGACGAGATACGGTTAAGTTGTACATGTCATTTTAGATGACTCTGACTGATATATCACTTTGTATTGATTTAGTTCATTTGGCTTACTTATTAATGTATGGTGGATTTCATGGCAAACCGTGGTTTTGGTCATTTCCGAGTATGGTTTGGATATATGTATATATGTTATACCGTCTTATGGAAAACGATACGGGTTTTACACTTAGGGGCATTACTTTTAGAGAGGTAGTAACTTTGGGAAGCTTGGTTTTTATTGCTTACTCACACCTTTTGTTTGGTGCCCTCCGGGTTTTAGCTATCGAGTTTGTATCGACAAGAATCTGTGACGAATCTTAGTATTGATGGATATTTTTGAGAGTATGATTCTTACTCACATTACTGTACCTTACTTATGCTCTGACATCGCGCGTGAAATGGGTTCGCTCCCACTCGTAGCGCACTCTGGTATTTAGACACTTTTGGAATCAAATTCATTCACTTTTTATACACTATCACATTTTATGGCTTCGTCACCTTCCAGGTGTCGGCCAGCACAGCTCGATTCAGGGTCCAAGTGAACTTTCTGGGTCGGGGTGTGTCAGTCACTGAGATTGTCTACCATTCATCATTTTGGCCATTCCGTTAAAAATTCTTTGGGTAATTTTCAAAGCTTTGTAACTCAATTGTTTATTAACCAAATTCGACTCATAATATATCAAAATGAAGATAGGAAAATGTAGAACAAGATTATACTTATTTGGAAGCCCAATGGTTGGTGAATCAAGGAACTTCATGGATTTGGGATACCCAACAGTCAACACACATACAATATAAGTTAGGAATGAAGATTGTCGTATCATTTGGCTATACCAAAAGATTTTTTTGGCATCCGAAGGATTATTCTTCCGTAGAAATTTCAAAAGATGATAAAGTTGAACTAATCAAATTTCAACAAGTTTGAAAAATCAACTATTTATATATATATGAGGATCCTGATTGATGTGTTACGTTAATTTGAATAACGGTTTTGAAGTTATGGAATGAGACATTTATTTTAAATTAACAAAAAAAAAATGTAATAATTAGAAAAAGGGTTGTCTAAATGGTGGGGTACTCATTGACACATGACCTAAAATAGAGGAAAAGTGATACAGTTTACTTTTTAAGTCTTTCAGGAATAAGAGTGGCAGGTTCCAAATTGGAATAATACAATTTTCATCTTAAGAGGTTGTAATACTGGTTATAAAAAAAAAGGTCTTTGGCACGCGGATAATAATGTGATTAAATTAGTTGTTAAATGATTATTTTTTTTTTTTGAACAAACGATATTATATACACTAAGGGGAGGGAGTGGGCTTAACCTCACAATGGGCTATCTATAATGTGATTCAATCAGTTGTTTATTTCAGTTTTTTTTTTTTTTTTTAACAAACAATATTATCTACACTAAGGGGGAGGGAATGGGCTTAGCCTCAAAATGGGCTAGCTATAATGTGATTCAATCAATTGTTTATTAAATATTATTTTCTCTATTCTTAATATAAATTCAATAGAGACCGATTTTATTATGTGGATTCAGCTGTTTTAATTGATTTATGAGGGGTTTCTTCTAGCATGATCTAAGATTATTCATTAACTTTAAATATTTGACTTTTCTTTTGTCAATTTACGCATATAAATACATTTAAAATGTATAAGTCTACGTAATATGCCGTGATTTAAAAAATGTCTTCTGCATACACGTTTGTTTTGTTTACGTGTATATGGGCCTTTGGTTTGTAAATTAATGCCGTAATAAAATTTTGTTCCTTTCAAATGGGCCTTTGATTTGTAAATTATTGCCGCAATAAAATTTTGTTCCTTTCTACGGGAAGGATTTCCCGAAAAATAAAAAAAAAAATTCTTTTGCCAACAGCAATACGTCTGTATGATTCGATTTATCCCACACCTGGGTAAGTCAACGACCACACAAGTGAAGTTAGAGACAACATGATCTCTCTTCCAACTTGTTTCTTTCTGTATTTCTCTCTTGCGCTGGATTATTTTCATCAGGGTTCTGGAAAAGCTTCAAGTTGATCAGTCTTTCATATTCGATCTCTCTAGATCTTAATATTTCCCAATCAACTTCTTTCCTGATTCAGAGGTACTCTCACTGACTTAATTACACTTGGAGAACTAATTACCATATAATTATAGTCTTCTCTTACATTTCTTATAATATTGTATAACGACTGTTAATTTGTGATGACTTTTTGGTCCCTCAGAATGTTTATGAAACCCACCAAGATAGAAAAATTGTTTTTTTCATTTTTTTGTTGATAGAAGTGATTATATTGGGGAAGGAGATTCGAATTCAGTGTATATGTTATGAAATAGATCCGGATGGATTTGTAGGTTATGAAAATATATATGGATGGATTGCAGGTTATGAAATACAAATTGTGGGGTTTGCAGGTTATTAGTATGGCTTCTTCCTCTTCCTCTGCTGCTGATATCTCGTCACGTCGAAGAAAGTATGATGTGTTTCTTAGTTTCAGAGGTGAGGACACCCGCAACACTTTCACCAGCCACCTTCATGCTGCTTTACTTCGAAAGAAACTTCACACCTACATAGATGACAAACTTGAGAGAGGGGATGAAATCAGACCTGCCCTTCTAGAAGCTATTGAGAAATCAAAGCTTTCGGTCATCATTTTCTCAAAAAGCTACGCTTCTTCCACATGGTGTCTGGATGAACTCGTGCATATACTAGGATGCAAGGAAAGGGATGGACAGTTTGTTATACCCGTTTTTTACGACATCAGTCCACAGGATGTACGAAAACAACAGGGGAGTTATGCAGATGCATTTGCCAAGCTTGAAGAACGTTTCAAGCTTGAAGAAGGTATGGGCAAGGTGCTTAAGTGGAGGGATGCTTTGCAGAAAGCTGCCAACCTATCTGGTTATGATTATTCAAACAAAGCCGGGTAACTAACTTTGCAACTCTTGCAGAATTTTTTTACTTGTGACCTTTGTTTCAAACAAGATTCATTAATGCAGGACTTAGTAACTATTTTTTTCCTTCGTGGTTACTTATATTTTCCAGGACAGAGGCTGATTCCATTGAGAAACTTGTCCAAGTTATATTGAACAAATTGGATTGCAAAAGCTCAAGTAATTTAAAGGGCCTAGTTGAAATTGAAACCAAAGTTGAGCAAATTGAATCGTTACTATGCCTTGATTCATCGGATGTTTGCATTGTAGGTATTTGGGGCATGGGTGGTATTGGCAAGACCACCCTTGCTGATGTTGTTTATCACCGACTCTCTTCCAAGTTTGAAGCTTGCTGTTTTCTTAAAAATGTTAGAGAAAATTCCGAAGGAAAAGACGGAATATATAACTTACGAAATGAACTTCTCCGTGAGATTTTAGATGATAAAAATATAAATATTAAGACTCCATCTATAGGATCAGAGCTTATTAAAGGGAGGCTCCGTCATACAAAGGTACTCATTGTTCTTGACGACGTGAATGATTCAAGGCAATTAGAACTTCTAGTTGGAGATGATCTTGAGTTTGGTGTCGGAAGTAGAATCATTATAACAACTCGAGATAGGAGCTTACTCAATGAAAAGGTGGTTGATGACAAAATTTACGAGGTCAAGGGATTGAAACATGATGGCGCTCTTCAGCTCTTTCATTTGCATGCTCTGAAAAATAAGTCTCCTATGACAGTTTATACAGAGTTTTCAAGAAGGGTGATAGATTATATTCAAGGCATTCCATTGGCTCTTAAAACTTTGGGTGCCTTATTCCGTCGCTGCGATACAGAAGAAGACTGGGATGAAGAATTGAACAGATTGAAAAAATTTCCTAGCGAAAATATTCAGAAAGCGTTGAGACTAAGTTATGATGGATTAGAAGAAAATGAGAAGGAATGCTTTCTTGACATTGCATGCTTTCTGAAAGGCGCAAATGTTTATTATGCAAAAAGAATATTAGATATTCGGGGTTTCTTTGCGAAGGGAATCCAAATTCTCATTGACAAGTCTCTCATATCAATTTCAAAGAAGAATTTCTTAGAGATGCATGATTTGCTGCAAGAAATGGGCCGGACAATTGTTCGTGAACAATGCAAGGATGAGCCAGGAAAACGTAATAGGTTGTGGGATGCTGATGATGTCTATCAAGTGCTGGAGAATGATACGGTAAGAACCAAAAATCATGAACTTTCTATGAGGGGACCATGGAAACTCATTTTATATAAGCATATGTCAACAAAAGTAGTTTTTAGTAATCTTTGTTGTACATTTATTCTCATTATACTATTTTCTCTTGATTTCCAGGGAACTTCAACAGTTCAATGCATATCCTTTGACACGTCTAACATTACACGGTTGGAATTATGTGGATCACCCTTCAAGAAGATGTCTAATTTAAGATTGTTGATAATTCATAATCCTCGTCTAAGAGTCATGTACGAGGATTTCTTTAGATATTTCATGCAAGTGGTTAAAGGTGATCTCGTTGACAAGTTGAACAACAACAATCTGGACCTTTCTCAAGGTCTTCAGTCTCTTCCCAATTCTCTCAGGTATCTTTACTGGCAGGGATACCCGTTGAAATCTCTTCCATCAAATTTTTCTCCACAAAATCTTGTTGAGCTTCGAATGCCCCGCAGCTTTGTTGGGGCAGAACTTTGGAGTAAAAACCAGGTATATATATGCTTCCTATTCTTTTTTCTATGTTTTTTTTATTGAAGTATATATATGCTAACTTTTGTTCCTCCTCTGGAAACCTATTCGGCCGAAGTCAATAATGTTCTTCTTTCCATTTTTCTTTAATTTGTTACAGAATCTTGGGAACTTAAAAGTGATTGAACTAAGTTTTTGCGTGCATCTGACTGAAGTTCCAGATCTCTCTCGCAGTAAAAAAATTGAGCATATAGTGCTTTATGGCTGTGATAGATTGGTTCGAATTCCTTCTTATTTTAAAGATCTTGACAAGCTTAGGTGGCTGAATCTGGGAGAGTGCTCAAGTCTAGAATTCTTACCAGAGCTCCCAGTGCTATGTTGTCTTGAAGCAAGTGGCTGCACTTCACTGAAGACAGTTTCAAGTTCAAGAAATTCACTCACACAAGCTTGGGATAAATATGAAATTTTTCGAGGGCGTTTTAACTTTTTTGATTGCCCAAACTTGGATGAAAATGCAAGGACCAATATAATGGCTGACACACAGTTAAGAATTATGCGAGTGGCAACTGGGCCATTGAAAACTCAGCAACATAAAGAAGAAGAAATTGTCATGGTCTCTCTCTCACCCACGCACGCACTAGCACACACTTTCATATCTCCTTTATGCCATTTTTTCACGTGTTGAATAATTTACTTGATTTCCATGCATCGATGTTACAGGAAATGACTTCATCTATCCCTACCTGGTGTCGGACTTTAGGTAGCACCGACTCTGCTCGGACTTTAGTTGGCACTGTATGTGCAGGAAATGAAATTCCAAATTGGTTCTGCCATCAAAATGAAGGATCTTCGATAACTATCAAGCTTCCTCGAAATTGGTATTGTACAGATTTTTTGGGTTTTGCTCTATCTGTTGTTCTCCCTCCCACTGTCTTTCATAAACGTGTGTGGCTTACATGCTCGTGCAATTTTAAAACTAATAGTGGTGAAAGCCATAAAACCATTTATCCTTCCTATTATCCTTTTAATGAAGATGGGGGAAAGCAACTTCATTTCAGTAACATACTTGTGTGGTATGGTGCGTTTGCACTTGGAGAGGGAGCAACTTTGAATAGCTCCAATTCTTTTTACGAACTTGTCACTGGGGCCTATTTTAAGTTCAACGCCGTGGACCTTCGCCGATTTAAGGTGAAAAGGTGTGGGATCAGCCTGCTGTATGCTGAAGATGTCGAGACCATCAAGTCGGGAGGAAATACAGGTTGGAGTAGCCAAAAATAAAAAGTTAGAAATGAAAAGTTAGGAATTTGAGCTCTTCTTGTTGTTTGTATTCTCATCTTTTAAGCTGTATGTAAGCCTTGTGGCCGAGGGATTCCTAATATTAGTCTTTATTGTTGTAACGCATTGGCTCTCCAAGTAATTTATAAGAGACGTTTTGATATAGGTGGTTGAATTTTGAATTTTTTATATCAAACATCTATAGCTTTCGGCTTTTGGGCTTTTTTTTTTTTTTTTTTTTTTAACCATTGATATCATGAATTTAGCAGAGAAATACCAGTAGACCGTAGTATTAATCGTTATAAAAGCAACTTTTGATCAAACATTCTTTTATTAAATTTTTATATTTCATTTACTTAATTTATCATTCAATTCACAAATTAATATAAAAAAAACTCCAAAAATGATGTTGCCTCATCTTATCTTCTCCTATAATAATTCGTTCCATAATCACTAGCAAAAGTGCCCCGCATGTTGCTGCGAAAGCTTTAAATATTTTGATAATATATATGTATATACACACACAAACACAGAACATAATTGATTGAAACTAGATTTATAGAAATTGGCAATGTTCATAGCTATCAAAAGATTGAGTGTTTAATTGCTCCCTGTTCAAAAGATAGAGATTCTTGGAAGATAAATTTATGTAAGTTCATAGTTATCAAAAGATTGGCAATGTTCACTCTTTATTAGGCATTTTCAGATTGTGAGGGAAAGAGAAGACCCGTCCCATCTTCCAGCTTCAATACAAGTGCCTGTGGCAAAGCATATCGAGAAGATGTCTTCCCTGAGGATTGTTTATAAGGATTCATAATTTCAATTTTAGGACAGAATTAGAAGATGTTATAAACATGTGAAAGTCATAATCTTTTGTTATTGGTGCTCATAATTTTTTTTTTTTCAAGTTTTAATTCCCTTGTATTTGAGAAGAGGTTCAGAACTCTCTTCAATTTCTTTTGGTTTTGGTTTGGCTTTGGACTTAGCCTCCGTTGTCGCCATTGACAGAAGACGGGCTCTTAGGAATAGAAGTGGGCATGAATGGAGCTTGCTATGATCTAATAATGAAAACATACACTAATCAAACATAAAATTTCAAGTGCATGAAAGAATTTATACAAATATGTTGAAAAGAATCAATTTTTTGTTTCGATTAGAAGTGAAGCAAAAAAGGAAGCGGTTCAAACTACAGAGGAAGCAGTGCAGTAAGAAAGAGGCGGAGGAGGAATGAGGAGAGTGAGCCACGTATTACTGGGCAACACGTATCAAGGATGGGCAAACTGGTCAATTCACTGTGCAAGTGAGGAAAAGAAAGAAAAATGCACAGTAAAAGGGGTAATTTCGCCACTTCACTGTACATTGAAACAGTGCTTTTCAAATTCAGCTTTTCCCATTGGGCTTTAGTATATACTAGTAATAGTGCCTACGCGTTGCATGCTTCAAAAACGTGTAAAATATGTGCCTTCGTAATAGGTATATTATTTACAATTGTATTTACACACATAATAATTAGTACCTGAAAATTTTATTGACCGTCACTTCACAATTTTTTTGTTTTATTTGTGATGATGTACATGCTTCTCTCTTATGATTTGAAAAAATAAAAGCTGTTAGTACAAATAAATAAGAATGTTAAAGAAGAAGAATGATTTTTTTTAATTACTAAAGAAATTGAGTAATTTTTGCAGTTTTTAAATAAATTTAATAAGATACTTCAAAGAAAACTGCAAGGCACCTATTATTTTGATCAGCAATCTTCTCCAATAGTAACCCCGGATGATGGCATAAATTGTCATAACCTTCAAAAATAACAATTGGCAAAAACCTGTTTATACGGAGATAAAATTTTAACGATATTCATAGGATTAAACCTGTTATTTTTGTTCTAGTATTATTGTAAAATAAATAAATAAATAAAATTAAAAAAGTTAAAAAAAACCCAAAAGAAGAAGCATTGATTGCTTTCTTTGCAAATTGAATTTACGTACAATATGAGAGGTTAATCTAGCTTTGATCTAGATTTGAAGCACATGTTGAAGTTTTCAATGATTGAAGGTGATGGTATACAGTTAATTGACTCGCTTCGGATGAAGACAACTGTGAATATTTCTGAGCCAAAAGTTGTCGTGGAATTTGTTAGAGAATTAGACAATACTAGAAAGTATGACCCATGCGTCGCTGCGGGACTATGATATATTATGGTGAAAACATATGAAAGATCATGTATCCAATGATTGTGGACCTAATAATCATGCACTCAAACACCAAACACCAAAATGTCATCAAACCAAAGTATAACTTTCATTTAACTAAGTTCTTAGCACTTCAGTTCAATCTTAAGCTAAAAAGAGTAGTTCAATTGACTAAAATTACACAAAAGGGAGAAAGACATAACAAACAATTGTGGAAAGTTGTACAGTGACATTGATCCTGCAAGTTAAACATGAAAAATGTTCAAAAGAATGTAAAAGCTCAATTCAAATCATCCCTAGCATCAGTAGATTAACAATGAAAAAACAAAATTCGTATAAGTTCATATGCTTGTTGCTTGACAATTCAGCATGGGAAAAAAAATGCAAGGAAACAAATATTGTTAAAAATCCGGTGAATAAGTGAATGACAGTGAACATTACAATTAGTATAACATGAATATGCATGTGGATAGTAAATACTAAGCAAGAATATGCATAGGTAAATAGTAACTATCAATTAACCATTTTAATTAACACTTTAAAAAAATTGTTTACGTATAAAAAATTCTAATACAAAGAATAAAACGCTCTGAATATTATAAAAAGAAATCCATATACTATACAAACACAGTCAATATGAAAATATATATCATTTGACAATACAAAATCAAGCAGTGTCTAAAGATGATAAGCAAATCCTAGATAGTGTTTATTACAGAAAGAAAGTAGAAACGTTCTATCATATGCATTAAAACAATTAAAAAACTTTCAATGGGCAAAACTAAAGGTTTATTAATTAAAATCATTACATAATGATTGCTCACCTTTTGTCTAGCAGTATACAGTGCAGACTTGTATTTTTATTAGTCTTTCCTAAAGTTCTCGGTCTCCACATTCTACACACATGGACTTTAATCTTTATTGCCTTTTTATACGGTTGTACCTGATTGATAGGTGTTGGAATTGCGTCTTCCATTCAAGCTACTCAAATTAAACACAAATTTGGTAAATTTGCAAACAGTCATTGCAATAAGTTTATAATAAACGCTGGAACAACCTTTCAATCCCAAACAGTCATTGCATAGAAATCCCCATTAATGAAACCTTTATACACAAACCCTTCAATAAAATTATGTGCAAAATAATATGAAAATATCCTCTGATGTAGAGGGAATTGCACGTATAGAGATTCAAAAAAGAATATTCTCTCTGAACCCATATGTGGCCTCTCCCCACCTTTCAATCCCAAACACCCTGTACTTGTCCAAGCAATCCTTTATAAAGTCAATCGAAAACAAAACATCGATTCCACAAAAAATTAAAAAATTCCTACTCTTAAACAGAAGAATCCTCATCGACAGCTTCAAAGGTGTTTTGTAAACCTCTCAGCATATCTTTCCCAATTGTATTTCTCACCTCCATCATCTCCTACCTAACCTGAGCAATCCATGTTACCATACAAACAAAACCGAATTTGGTAGCTGGGTGAAAGCAAAAGCAAGCACTATTACATTCAAGTAAAATAAGGAATTTCAAAACATTATAGCAGAAAATCAATTACATACAATTTTTCCTTAAACACTCTTTAAATGCAGAAAAGAAAACTAACCTCTTGTAGAAGTGATGAGAAGGAATGAAAAATCAGAACACCACCTGTTTAAAAATACAAAAATCCAAAATCAAAATGAAAAAAGAAAAGAAATCAACTTTCAAAACTCTCTGCAAAATAGTGAATTTCTGTTATGATCATAGTATCCTCACCATTATCTTTATCACTACCCACCTGCAATTCCTTGCTCTCTGTTTTCAAATCACTCGAATTCTCATCCCGGTTAACGGTTTCAAATCGCCACTAACTTGTACAATTCCCAAATCATAAAATTCCAGTAAGGGTATGCCGAAACACAAAATTCAATTTCATTGTGTACAGACCAACATAGAGATTGAGACAGGTTTTAACTTCTACAATTCTACACATTTTCGAGCCCTAAATTTTCCCGGAAACAAAAGAAAATTTTCGAGCCCTAAATTTTCCCAGAACCAAAAGAAAATGAAAGAAGTCGTACCTGTTCGAAAGAGCGGATGCAAGTTTGGTGGAGCAGCGATGGCAAAGATCTCTAGTGAGAAAGTTAATAAGATGGAGCAAACCATTGAACCCAAAAACCCAGATTTTTAAAATTAAAATCACAAAAATTTCAACAAATATGTCGGAGAACTCACCAGTAAACCCAAGCTTTCGAATTGGCGATTTCCTGAAAATCAAGCTTTTCTAGGTTAAAATTTCTTCCAGAAGGCAACAGATCCAACATTCATGCAAAGAAAATTCGAATTGAAAAATAATAATAATAATAATAAAGTGAGAGAGACATACCTTCTTAGGGAGGCCAGCGATTAAGAGCTTGAGAGAGAGCTTGAGAAATCTGTGGAAGCAAATGGAAGAGCCCGCTTTTCCATGTTTCTTCCCCTCCACGATGAGCAACACGTGTATAACACTACAGGAGGAAGAAAATCCAACGAAAAGGTGCACGATGAGGATGTGGGGAGCAGCTAGGGAAATCGATATAAAACGGAGGGGCAAAACAATCCGCCCACAGATCATCCACAGTACCCAACCCCTACGAGTTTTAGTATATATGATATGTAAAAACTAGGAATTGTTCCAAATGATGAACCATGGATATAAAGTAGTTTCATTTTATAGTGGAAAACAACAGAAAACAATAAAAGAAATTCTTTACAAATTCATTTGAATTTCCTCTATTATGCATGGACACAGACAACGATACGGGAATACGACACATGGGAATACGTCAAATTTCTAAAAATGAAAACACGATATGATAAGGATACAACAATAAAAAATAATATAAATAAATAAATATATCTAAATATTATAAAATAAGCATTCAAATATACTATTCAAGTTCAAATTTATTTTGATAAACTTCAAACATTTAAAAAGATAATCCACTAAACAACTAAATTAGTCTTCAAACTTGAAAAACTAAAAAGAACATCCAAATGACTTAAAAAAATAAAAAGAAAAGAGTCCCTCATTATCAAACTAGCTTTTTTATTTCTGCAAGAGCTTCATCAGTAACCTTATTGCAAGAGACGATCCCATTTCCAGATATTTTTAACAAATGAAACTTGATCCTAGAGTACGATCCTCTGAAAATCTTTTGGCAATAATGAAACACAGTAACTCCTCTTCCATTTTCCACTCTTTCGAGCTTTTTGACATACTTTCACAGTGTACCATGATCATTTTCAACAGTCTCAACTGAATTAACATTAGCATTCGCATGTTTATCAGGATGATTCATTTTCCTAAATTATCAACATGTAATTCATAAGAATCAATCCAAAGTGGTACCATAAAAAATTACGAGTCAAATTTATGCTAAGAGATCAACAAAGCAACATAAAAACATATATAAATATATTATAAACTAAATTATTCTACACCACTAACAATAATATTATTATAGTATGCAAAAACAGAAAAGCAAAAGAAGCTTTTCGTTTGGATTCAGAAAAGCAAAAGGGGACTGTAATCGGTAAAGCAGATGACTCTAACCAAAAAAAAAAAGCTTCAAGAAAGCTTGGAATCCGAAACCCAGTTACCAGCTCTCACCAGTGGATGCATGAGATACGATGCAGCAGTAGCAAACGGAGACGACAGGAGCAGTTGCCGAAGATGGTTCTGATGTTCAAGTGAGGAAAAACAGGTAGATTTGAATTTTATATACAAAATTGTTTCGATTTTCGGTCACAGAATCGTTTCAGTTCAGCTAATCTCAATCAACTGTCAATTATCATGATTCTGTGCGGATTAAGTGTAATTATCTTGATTTTTTTGTGTGATTATCCTCTGATTATAGTTTAAAACGTATCCAAAAAGTACGATAGTCGTATCTCAATAGTAAGGTACACGTATCCCACCAGTCAACAATGTATCTGTTGACTCGGATACGTATCGGTCGCATATCCACACGTATCACCCTGCATATCCGTATCCCCGCGTGTCAGATATGGGATACGCTGGTCTTCTCCCGTGTCCATGCATCATAGAATTTCCTATACCATATGTTACTGGGTTTTCAATTTTACACACCAATGTGCCTATCATATTTGCAGCACGAAACCAACATTTACATAAACAAAAGGTTGAGTTTCTACCTGCCAATCTAGCAATAGGAACGAACACTATAGCTCCAATTCAAAGGTCATACCTTTCAGCAAAAAGACCACTCTACGTTTCACCAATTTATTCCTTCTCACCACAAAAACTGAGCAAACACAAACCCAAATTAAAAAATTAACATTTAAAAGAAAATGGAGCTCGTCGTCTTCTTGGAAATTTAAGCACCAATACATAAAATTGTCCATTAATTCTTAGTTCCTCTATGCATCACGGGATCATATGCTAACTTGCAATTGATGTTATAATTTGTGAATTTTATGTAACGACCTATAAGTTTATATCTTGACAGTTTAAGACGTAAAAAAAGCTAAAATATATTTACTCTGATTGATCAAAATACTTGGTCTAATTCCCAAACTATGTAATGTACAACATGGTCATCTTTACACATTTATTATGGAACAAAACACAACCAAATTAATGAATTTTATTTTAAAAACAAAGGTAAAACATAAGGTACAAATTACACTAAGTATCGACATTGCAACCAAAAAAAGAAATAAAAGGAATGGACCATTTACTGTCAAGTTAATATTGTTATCTCTTATTACATTATTAAGGTCTTCTTCTTACTGCAAAGATAATAAACAAAGTTTAAGTCCACTAATCTTGAGGCCAAATAAGAAATAATATCATAATTATAAAAAACTAAAACGCTTGACAAATAATTTGATCAAAGTGAACAGAAGATGATCTTACAATGCCATACCCTTCGATCAATGATAATTTGATACAATGCCACATGGAAATTCCTTAGCCCCATCTACTGAAGACTAAATGTGTGAAAAAATAGGCTGCAAAAGAAGAGTAAACCAAGCATAAGTTGAAAAATAATATTTGGTCGCAAATGACCTGACTGTGAAAAGTAAATTAATAAGAACTTACCTTGGGTACTGATAGAAGCAGAAGACTGTTCACAAAGATTTATCTATTACCAAAGAACTAGTGAAACACATGAGTAAAAACAAATTCCTATCTACCCAAGTCTTTATACAACTAAAAAAGTTGGGAACATTTAATCATCACCTGGAAGAAGAATTCATTTGGTGCTTTGATTCAAACCTGGCTGAAATCTTCGAGTCTTCTTATGATTTCAAATGTCTCCAAACCACCTGGTGTTTCAAAAAAATCAAGCCTAATAAATACTACTCACACAACAAAAATTAATAAATATAAGAACCGAAATTTGTTCGAATCAACACAAAAAACCAAAAACTTATACGAGCTTCCTTATGAGAATCTCAAACTCTAGCCATTTCAAAAAACTTCTTAGCATTTCCTCAAATACGTGCTAAACTCTCTCTTACTGCTCAAAATCCAAATGAGTACCTAAGATATACAAAACTAGTTAAGGCTATACTGCACTAAATGACATTCAAAACCACAATACACCAAAACAAAGATGAATTCAACACCTGGAATGTGTAATATTCATATCTAAAATTTGAAACATAATTTTCTCCCTTAAAAACTTTGATCTACAAAACCCATTACATTTTTCAACAAAAAAAAAAATCGCTTTAGGAAAGCAAATACAATGCAACAAAAGAGTTGTTCGATTTAGCTCCATTTCGTATGGCCAAAAGCTTGAAAAACAGCTTAGAAGCACAATTCCAAATATTACCAAAAGCAAGCAGCTTTGGGGTAAAGAGCCCACTCTCCCAAATAGAGCTTTAAGTTCATGGCACATGATTCGAATTAATTTATCACTAATCTAAGTTCTAAAATGGTAAAAGTGAGGAAATATACCTATCACCCTGTTCACTGTGATCTGTGAAATCCAAGTTCCACTACGTAACCCTCGGCATAGCTGCGTAACTTCCGGTGACTATCACCCTGGGAAGGTTTAGAGTAGCAGCAGATTGGTAATAGGCTATCATCAGTCTCTGAAGATCTGGAGTACCATAAACTTAATCTCTACCAAAAACTATACAAATATTTAAATAAAATATAACTACTCTCTCAATTTTGCTGAGAAATATCTACCACACCACTAAATATTCCTCAATTGCCTCTAGCTTCACTATCTATGTCGTATAAAACTCGGCAATAAAAAAATAGCCCAAAAAACCCTAACAGGCCTAAATAATTGACATATGTTTTCGCTCACCAAAAAGTTGCAATTTACTAAATTTCAGAATCCTTGACAAAACTGCAGTCATGACCAGTGAAGACATGATCAACCCAGATGGGTCAACAACAAATATGCATGAAGCGGAGGAAATTAAGTGCTTGGTGAGACAGAAAAAAACCAAACCCAACCCCAAATTAAGCAGATAAATCACTCAATAAAGCTTGATTACTGGGAAGAACGAATCTCTGAAAAAGAAACTCACCACTGTTATCATTGAGCCTCAGCACAGAGGCCTTCAAAAGCTCAAGAAAAACTGAAAAGAAAGCACAGTGCCCTGACACTGAAAACCAAAAAAAATTAAATAGTCACATGTAGAATCGGAGGCTATAAACAAAACCCAAAAATAACATAAGAATAAAATCAAGAAAGTGGTAAATCTCACCAGGAACCACAGAGAAGCAGAAAGTTTTGCCAAAGAGGAGCAGAAACCGAAATAAAACCAAGAAGTCTAATCGAGCCAAGGAAACGGAAACCGAAAGAATATTCCAGAGATCCGAAGCGAACCATTGCAGGATGATCGACACGTGGCAAGAGAATGGTGGACGCGTGGCCAAAGAAAAGCATTGAAAATGTGAAGACAAAGAGACCCAAAACAAAACAGCACCGCCCGTGCCCTGTTAATGAACAGTATTTTTTTGCTTGGGTTTTAGTATATGGGTAATAAACTAGAGATTCAGCCCGCTCGATGCCGCATATTTTAAAATTGTGTTAAATGTTTGAAATATATTAAAACATACCCATACATATCAAAATTCATATCCAAATGTTCAACAAAGAACCAAAACAATTTACAAACATGGTTCTTGGCCCTCCATATGCAGAGAGCCCATTCCCCATCTTCATTTTGCAAAAACAATTCACCAACAAATTTATTCATTTTTCTATACCAAAATTAAGCTTTCTTAACAAACATTAATTTCATGAAAAGCATTCTTACCTGATGATTATAGAGATATCTGCACATCACAACAGCATTCAGACCTCCAGTAATTGAAAGCGCAATGATGTGTTCCAATTGGTAAGTAATACTTAGTCACTCAACAATTACCAAATGGACCAAATAATAAAGAAAAAACCAATCTTGGTTAATTCATTTAACTAAGAAGAAAGACTGTCAAGTTCCGAAATGAATATGCAGCCATCTTTTGGAATGTCAAAACTTATTTCTCATATTTAACCATGATATACAGATTCTCCGTGTTTTCATCTTCTGGATTACATGATGATTACTACTTTTCTCCCTTACCCAGGAAGCAGAAACATAGGACCCTCATAATCTCCAGCCCAATGTCCGTCATGTGCCTGGATTGTTGAATAGAAACTCAGAGACCTTCATAATGTGGTTGTCACTGCCTCTTCCATTACCTCTTCTTGATTTTTAACTTTGAGTTTTGGTAGATTAGTGGCAAATGGATTCTCCTTTGCAAACTGCATTCAGAAATAAGAAGAGAGCAAGCTCGTAATCCTGCCAAAAGATACCCCTAATCACTGGCTATCGTTTTCATTGATCCAAATCATCCAATAGTAAAAGTATCCAACAATCTCCTCGACTGAAAAAATTCCTGCCAATTTAGAAAAGAACTATTCCAAATTACGGATGTACTCTATTAATTTAACCAAGAACATGCATGGCACCACCACTATTAAGAAGCATCAGCATCAACATACAAAGACAAAAGTTTCTACAATCAGTTGTCAAATTGTTACCAAATACATGCATGGAAAGAATAAATATGACCACAAAGATGGCAAAACAATTAACCAAATATGTTGTTTATATGCCCACTGAGAGGAAAAAGCTTCTGCAATTGCAAGAACGTATTTATATAAAACAGACATGTCACTTTAGCTTAAGCTCACACACCATCTGAAAGAGCCTCTTGTATCCATTCCAATCATACTCCTGTGGAGCATGTCCCTCTACTATTCCCCACCAGCAATCAACCATAAACGCCATCTACATTAACTGATATCAATACCCTCAGCTGCTTTAGTGAGCATCTGGATCAACTAGCACACACTTCATATCAATACCCTCAGCTGCTTTAGTGAGCATCTGGATCAACCAGCACTCACTGGTAGCATTACATATACCAATAAAAAACCTAAATATCAGTGTTTGGGAAGTTAGTTTATTTGAACTGTCAGAAGTATCTCGTGTATGTACAGAGTAGACTGTTCTCACAAAATTCAGGGCTTGAAAATAAAATAATAAAAATTCAAAAGAAATCACTACTACTAAAAATTCCAACATTTCTTGATGACTATTTAATAAGGGATCAAACAATCATGCCATCGAACTAATTTGAGGAAACACGATTATATATATGGACTAACGGACATGTGTTTTACAAAGTTGAATTTAGTTTTGTGGTTAGAGAAGAAATGTTACCTTTGAACTTTTGCCAATTCTTTCACCTTGCATATCATGTCCTTTTATTGATTGTAAGGGTTGAGGGGATCCCAGCTTCTTCAAAAGAAGGCCCCTCTTATCCCCTGTGGTTCTATTTTAAATATCTTTAAGAACCAATCGGCCATGGTTTGCAAGCCAGGACTGAACTCAGAAAAATTTTGCTTCCTAGTAACATTGACTTAAATTTGTGGTAGAAGGACTGGAATTTTCTCTTCTTTTTTATTAAAGATAAAAGATCTAGGCCTCCTTTGGCGCCTAGGATGGATTTGAGTAGATAACTCACTAGATCCCATGTTAGTTGATAGAAGAAATACATGCCAACTTCTAAAATTTGAGAACCAATCGGCCATGGTTCTAAAACAACCCTTGTGTATTAAGCGACTAAGCTTAAATATCTTTAAGAACCAATCGGCCATGGTTTGCAAGCCAGGACTGAACTCAGAAAAATTTGCTTCCTAGTAACATTGACTTAAATTTGTGGTAGAAGGACTGAAATTTTCTCTTCTTTTTTATTAAAGATAAAAGAGACAGAGACTTCATTTAGATATAATAAGGATTTAAAAGAATGAATTCATATTTTGACAAGAAGCTCAGATTTGTTTCTAACATAAAGATATAATCCACGAAATGAGCAAATGTAATGTAATAACTGAAACTAAAATGACTATGTCCAATGAATCATTCGAAATCCATGTAATCCTTCAATCACATAAATATAAACATTATATCCAAGCACCTAAAATAAAGACATGAACCAAAATCCCAGAAATTTCACTATGAAACTGAAGCTTAATGAACATATGTGCACCTGTAGCTATTGCCTCATAAGAATTTCCTTGAAAATGTGTGAATTGGGTTTAGGATCAGAACCTATAATTGAATAGAACAGTCTGCAAGTATCAAAATGCAGTGATAAATAAAGCAAATGCCCATTCATATTCCCCTTGCACTGGCTGTAAAGATCAATCAAATCCTTCTTCTTGAAATCAGATCCCTTCTACTTTGCTTTGAACACTTCAATATCAGCTTCAATGACCTGCACCGGCCCTCGCCGTGGCAACTTTTTGTTCATTTTGCTGCCTTTACCCCTTGCTATCTTGTCCCAATTTACATGTTCTTCAAACCTCACGGGCGTCCATCTTCCTCGACCAATTTCATTCTGGCCTGCAGTCAGTTTTCAACGCAATTTGTTGTGATCATTCGAGAGGGTGCATAGAGTTCTAGTGGTCACGCCGGCTCAGGTGTTTACAACACCACCTCCTTCTCTTTGTCTGCCTTTGTTGGCAGTCTTGTTCGTGGTAAATCCACATGCTTTTTTCAATTTCTGGATGAGAATGGCGCGAGGATCGTGGCTGGATTATAAAATTTTCCTCCATTTAATCTCTACGGTGCTGCTTGGTACGATTTTTGGCGTCTGCTGGGGAAATCGATTCGGATTGATTGGGAAATACCATTGCGGCGGTGGTAGAAGGAATCTGGAATTTTCTTTTGTTCTGTGTCTAGCTTTGGGCCCTTAGTTGGGCTGTTTTAGGTTAGCTTGGGTGGCCTCTGTTTGTTTTGTTTATGTGTATATGGGCCTTTGGTTTGTAAATTAATGAATGAGCCTTTGTTGTAAATTAATGCTGGAATACAATTTTATTCCTTTCTACGGAAAGGATTTTACCAAAAAAAAAATCTTTTGCCCACAGCAATTCGAATGTCCCACACCTGCGTAAGTCAACAACCCACACAAGTCAAGCTAGAAACAACATGATCTCTCTTCCAACTTGTTTCTTTCTATATTTCTCTCTTGCGCTGGATTATTTTTGTCAGGGTTCTGGAAAAGCTTCAACTTGACCAGTCTTTCATATTCGATCTCTCTAGATCTTAATATTTCATAATCAATTTCTTTCTCGATTCAGAGGTAATCTCACCGACTTAATTACACTTCGAGAACTATTTACCATAAAATTATAGTCTTCTCTTACATTTCTTATAATATTGCAAAGCGACTGTTAATTTGTGGTGATTTTTTGGTCCTTTAGAGTGTTTATGAAGCCCACCCAGATAGAAAAGTTGATTTTTTTTTTTTTTGGTTGATAGAAGTGATTATGTTGGGGAAGGAGATTCGAATTCAGTGACCTCGGGTGCGTTCAAGGGTAAATGTTCTAAACTAACTGAGAACTGAGATGTATGTCGGTTGTATATAGGGGATTTTGGCTTAATTACGTATGTGTGTATGTGTCATGAAATAGATCCGGATGGATTTGCAGGTTATGAAAAATATATATGGATGGATTGCAGGTTATGAAATATAAATAGTGGGGTTTGCAGGTTATTAGTATGGCTTCTTCCTCTTCCTCTGCTGCTGCTATCTCGTCACCTCCAAGAAAGTATGATGTGTTTCTTAGTTTCAGAGGTAAGGACACCCGCAACACTTTCACCAGCCACCTTCATGCTGCTTTACTTCGAAAGAAACTTGACACCTACATAGATGACAAACTTGAGAGAGGGGATGAAATCAGACCTGCCCTTCTAGAAGCTATTGAGAAATCAAAGCTTTCGGTGATCATTTTCTCAAAAAGCTACGCTTCTTCCACATGGTGTCTGGATGAACTCGTCCATATACTAGGATGCAAGGAAAGGGATGGACAGTTTGTTATACCCGTTTTTTACGACATCAGTCCACAGGATGTACGAAAACAACAGGGGAGTTATGCAGATGCATTTGCCAAGCTTGAAGAACGTTTCAAGCTTGAAGAAGGTATGGACAAGGTGCTTAAGTGGAGGGATGCTTTGCAGAAAGCTGCCAACCTATCTGGTTATGATTATTCAAACAAAGCCGGGTAACTAACTTTGCAACTCTTGCAGAATTTTTTTACTTGTGACCTTTGTTTCAAACAAGATTCATTAATGCAGGACTTAGCAACTATTTTTTTTCCTTCGTGGTTACTTATATTTTCCAGGACAGAGGCTGATTCCATTGAGAAACTTGTCGAAGTTATATTGAACAAATTGGATTGCAAAAGCTCAAGTAATTTAAAGGGCCTAGTTGAAATTGAAACCAAAGTTGATCAAATTGAATCGTTACTATGCCTTGATTCATCGGATGTTTGCATTGTAGGTATTTGGGGCATGGGTGGTATTGGCAAGACCACCCTTGCTGATGTTGTATATCACCAACTTTCTTCCAAGTTTGAAGCTTGCTGTTTTCTTAAAAATGTTAGAGAAAATTCCGAAGGAAAAGAAGGAATATATAAGTTACGAAATGAACTTCTCCGTGAGATTTTAGATGATAAAAATTTAAATATTAAGACTCCATCTATAGGATCAGAGCTTATTAAAGGGAGGCTCCGTCGTACAAAGGTACTCATTGTTCTTGACGACGTGAATGATTCAAGGCAATTAGAACTTCTAGTTGGAGATGATCTTGAGTTTGGTGTCGGAAGTAGAATCATTATAACAACTCGAGATAGGAGCTTACTCAATGAAAAGGTGGTTGATGACAAAATTTACGAGGTCAAGGGATTGAAACATGATGGCGCTCTTCAGCTCTTTCATTTGCATGCTCTGAAAAATAAGTCTCCTACGACAGTTTATACAGAGTTTTCAAGAAAGGTGATAGATTATATTCAAGGCATTCCATTGGCTCTTAAAACTTTGGGTGCCTTATTCCGTCGCTGCGATACAGAAGAAGATTGGGATGAAGAATTGAACAGATTGAAAAAATTTCCTAGCGAAAAAGTTCAGAATGTGTTGAGACTTAGTTACGATGGATTAGAAGAAAATGAGAAGGAATGCTTTCTTGACATTGCATGCTTTCTGAAAGGGGCAGATGTTTATTACGCAAAAAGAATATTAGATATTCGGGGTTTCCTTGTGACGGGAATCCAAATTCTCATTGACAAGTCTCTCATATCAATTTCAGAGACGAATTGCTTAGAGATGCATGATTTGGTGCATGAAATGGGCCGGACAATTGTTCGCGAACAATGCAGGGACAAGCCAGGAAAACGTAGTAGGTTGTGGGCTGCTGATGATGTCTATCACGTACTGGAGAATGATACGGTAAGAACCAAAAATCATGAACTTTCTATGACGGGACCATGGAAACTCATTTTGTATAAGCATATGTCAACAAAAGTAGTTTTTAGTAATCTTTGTTGTACATTTATTCTCATTATACTATTTTCTCTTGATTTCCAGGGAACTTCAACAGTTCAATGCATATCCTTTGACACGTCTAACATTACACGGTTGGAATTATGTGGATCACCCTTCAAGAAGATGTCTAATTTGAGATTGTTGATAATTCATGATGCTAGTCTAAGACTCGCGTACAACTATGGCTTAGGGTTGGGTGCAGCAGACGACTATCTTCGTTGCTTTGACGAGGCGTTCAAGAAGAAGATTCTGGACCTTTCTCAAGGTCTTCGGTCTCTTCCCAATTCTCTCAGGTATCTTTACTGGCAGGGATACCCGTTCAAATCTCTTCCATCAAATTTTTCTCCACAAAATCTTGTTGAGCTTCGAATGCCCGGCAGCTTTGTTGGGGCAGAACTTTGGAGTAAAAACCAGGTATATATATGCTTCCTCTTCTTTTTTCTATGTTTTTTTTATTGAAGTATATATTATGGTGCCTCTGGAAACCTATTCGGCCGAAGTCAATAATGTTCTTCTTTCCATTTTTCTTTAATTTGTTACAGAATCTTGGGAACTTAAAAGTGATTGACCTAAGTTTTTGCAAGCATCTGACTGAAGTTCCAGATCTCTCTCGCAGTAAAAAAATTGAGCATATAGTGCTTTATGCCTGTAAAAGATTGGTTCGAATTCCTTCTTATTTTAAAGATCTTGACAAGCTTAGGTGGCTGAATCTGGGAGAGTGCACAAGTCTAGAATTCTTACCAGAGCTCCCAGTGCTATGTTGTCTTGAAGCAAGTGGCTGCTGGAACTTGAAGACAGTTTCAAGTTCAAGAAATTCACTCACACAAGCTTGGGATAAATATGAATTGTTTCGAGGGCGTTTTAACTTTGTTTGTTGCCGGAACTTGGATGAAAATGCAAGGACCAATATAATGGCTGACACACAGTTAAGAATTATGCGAGTGGCAACTGGGCCATTGAAAACTCAGCAACGTAAAGAAGAAGAAATTGTCATGGTCTCTCTCTCACCCACGCACACACTTTCATATCTCCTTTATGCCATTTTTTCACGTGTTGAATAATTTACTGGATTTCCATGCATCGATGTTACAGGAAATGACTTCATCTATCCCTGCCCGCTGTCGGACTTTAGGTAGCACCGACTCTGCTCGGACTTTAGTTAGCACTGTATGTACAGGAAATGAAATTCCAAATTGGTTCTGCCATCAAAATGAAGGATCTTCGATAACTATCAAGCTTCCTCGAAATTGGTATTGTACAGATTTTTTGGGTTTTGCTCTATCTGTTGTTCTCGGTCGCAATCTCGTTTATAATGATCTGATGCTTGGATGCTCGTGCAATTTTAAAACTAATAGTGGTGAAAGCCATAAAACCGTTTATCCTCCCCATAATCCTTTTAATGAAAGTGAGATAACGCTTGTTGAGGGTCTCAGTAACATATTTGTGTGGTATAATGCCTTTGCACTTGGAGAGGGAGAAAATTTAAATCGCTCCACTTCTTTTTACAAACTTGTCACTGAGGCCTGTTTTCAGTTCAAGGTTGTGGGAGTCTTGTACCCTTGGGGAGTAGATGTGAGAAAGTGTGGGATCCGCCTGCTGTATGCTCCAGATGTCGAGACCATCAAGTCGGGAGGAACTACAGGTTGGAGTAGCCAAAAAATAAAAAAGAAGTTAGAAATGAAAAAGTAAGAATTTGAGCTCCTTATCGTTTGTAAGCCTTGTGGCCGAGGGATTCCTTGTATTAGTCTCTGTTGTTGTAATGCTTTGGCTCTCCAAGTAATTTATAGAAGGCGTTTTGATATAGGTGGTTCAATTCTGAATTTTGTATGTCAAACATTACTAGCTTTTGGCATTTCTTTTTTTTACCAATCGATGTGATGGGTTTAGCTAGAAATACTAGATCATAGTACTAATTGTTATAGATTTAGGCTTTTGATCATTCTTTTATTAATTTTTAATATTTCATTTACTTAATTTATCATTTAATTAGCAAATTAATATAAAAAAAACTCCAAAAATCATGTGGTCATATCTTATCGTCTCTTACAATAATTCGTTTCATAATAATCACTAGCAAAAGTGCTCCGCGCATTGCTACGAGTGCTTAAAATATTTTGATAATATTTACATACAGAAAACATATCAAAAGATTGGCGGTGTTTACTCTTTATTCAATTGAGAGGCATTTTCAGATTGTGAGGGGATGAGAAGACCCGTCCCATCTTCCAGCTTCAATACAAGTGCCTATGACGAAGCATATCGGGAAGATGTCTTCCTTGAGGATTGTTTATAAAGATTCATAATTTCAACTTTAGGACAGAACTAGAAGAAGATGTTATAAACATGTGAAAGTCATAATCTTTTGTCGGGAGGAACTACAGGTTGGAGTAGCCAAAAAATAAAAAAGGAAGCGGTGCAGTAACAAAGAGGCGGAGGAGGAATGAGGAGAGTGAGCCACGTATTCACTAGGCAACACGTATCAAAGATGGGCATATTGGTCAATTCATTGTGCAAGTGAGGAAAAGAAGAAGAAAATTGCTCAGTAAACGGGGTGACATCGCCACTTCACTGTACAGTGGAACAGTGCTTTTCCCCATTCGTCTTTGGTATATATAAACTAGAAATTGAGCCCCCGCGATACCGCGGATTTTAAAATTGTGTTAAATGTGTGAAATATATTAAAACATATTCTCGATATGCAGAGAGCCCATTCCCCATCTTCATTCTGCAAAAACAATTCATCAATGAATTTATTCATTTTTCTATACCAAAATTAAAGCTTTCTTAAAAAGCATTAATTTTATGAAAAGCATTCTTACCTGATGATTATAGAGATTTCTGCACATCATAATAGCATTTAGACCTCCAGTAATAATTGAAGGTGCAATGATCTGTTCCAATCGGTAAGTAATACTTAGTCACTCAACAATTACCAAATGGACCAAATAATAAAGAAAAAAACCAATCTTGGTTAATTCATTTAACTAAGAAGAAAGGCTGTGAAGTTCCGAAATAAATATGAAGCCATCTTTTGGAATGTCAAAACTTATTTCTCATATTTAACCATGATATACAGATTCTCCGTGTTTTCATCTTCAGGATTACATGGTGATTAATACTTTTCTCCCTTATCAAACCAGGAAGCAGAAGCATAGGACCCCCATGGGACCCCATAATCTCCAGCCCAATGTCCATCATGTGCCTGGATTGTTGAATAGAAACTCGGAGACCTTCGTAATGTGGTTGTCACTGCCTCTTCCGTTACGTCTTCTTGATTTTCAACTTTGAGTTGTGGTAGATTAGTGGCAAATGGATTCTCCTTTGCAAACTGCATTTCAGAAATAAGAAGAGAACACGCCCGTAATCCTGCCAAAAGATACCCCTAATCACTGGCTATCGTTTTCATTGATCCAAATCATCCAATTAGCAGAAGTATCCAACAATCTCCTCGGCTGAAAAAATTCCTGCCCATTTGGAAAAGAACTATTCCAAATTACGGATGTACTCTATTAATTTAACCAAGAACATGCATGGCACCACCACTATTAAGAAGCATCAGCATCAACATACAAAGACAAAAGTTTCTACAATCAGTTGTCAAATTGTTACCAAATACATGCATGGAAAGAATAAAAATGACCACAAAGATGGCAAAACAATTAACCACATATGTTGTTTATATGCCCACTGAGAGGAAAAAGCTTCTGCAATTGCAAGAACGTATTTATATAAAACAGACATGTCACTTTAGGTTAAGCTCACACACCATCTGAAAGAGCCTCTTGTATCCATTCCAATCATACTCCTGTGGAGCATGTCCCTCTACTATTCCCCACCAGCAATCAACCATAAACACCATCTACATTAACTGATATCAATACCCTCAGCTGCTTTAGTGAGCATCTGGATCAACCAGCACACACTTCATATCAATACCCTCAGCTGCTTTAGTGAGCACCTGGATCAACCAGCACTCACTGGTAGCATTACATAGACCAATAAAAAACCTAAATATCAGTGTTTGGGAAGTTAGTTTATTTGAACTGTCAGGAGGATCTGGTGTATGTACAGAGTAGACAGTTCTCACAAAATTCAGGGCTTGAAAATAAAATAACAAAAATTCAAAAGAAATCACTACTACTAAAAATTCCAACATTTCTTGATGACTATTTAATAAAGGATCAAACAATCATGCCATCGAACAAATTTGAGGAAACACGATTATATATATGGACTAACGGACATGTGTTTTACAAAGTTGAATGTAGTTTTGTGGTTAGAGAAGAAATGTTACCCTTGAACTTTTTCCAATTCTTTCATCTTGCATATCATGTCCTTTTATTGATTTTAATGGTTGAGGGGATCTCAGCTTCTTCAAAATAAGGCCCCTCTTATCACCTGTAGTTCTATTTTAAATATCTTTAAGAACCAATCGGCCATGGTTTGCAAGCCAGGACTGAACTCAGAAAAATTTGCTTCCTAGTAACATTGACTTAAATTTGTGGTAGAAGGACTGGAATTTTCTCTTCTTTTTTATTAAAGATAAAAGAGACAGAGACTTCATTTAGATATAATAAGGATTTAAAAGAATGAATTCATATTTTGACAACAAACTCAGATTTGTTTCTAACATAAAGATATAATCCACGAAATGAGCAAATGTAATGTAATAACTGAAACTAAAATGACTATGTCCAATGAATCATTCGAAATCCATGTAATCCTTCAATCACATAAATATAAACATTATATCCAAGCACCTAAAATAAAAACATGAACCAAAATCCCAGAAATTTCACTATGAAACTGAAGCTTAATAAACATATGTGCACCTGTAGCTATTGCCTCATAAGAATTTCCTTGAAATGGTGTGAATTGAGTTGAGGATCAGAACCTATAATTGACCTGCACCGGCCCTCGCTGTGGCAGGGGTCGGTGGAAGATCTTTCCTTTTTCTCTAAGTTTCAACCTTTTGCTCATTTTGCTGCCTTTACCCCTTGCTGTCTTGTCGCGATTTACCTGTTCTTCAAACCTCACGGGCGTCCATCTTCCTCGACCAATTTCATTCTAGTCTGCAGTCACTTTTCAACGCAATTTGTTGCGATTATTCGAGAGGGTGCGTAGAGTTCTGGTGATCATGCCGGCTCAGGTGTTTACAACACCACCTCCTTCTCTTTGTCCGCCTTTGTTGGCAATGTTGTTCGTGGTAAATCCACATGCTTTTTTCAATTTCTGGCTGAAATTGGCGCGAGGATCGTGGCTGGATGATGAGATTTTCCTCCATTTAATCTCTACGGTGCTGCTTGGTAGGAATTTTGGCGTCTGCTGGGGAAATCGATTCGGATTGATTGGGAAATACCATTGCAGTGGTAGAAGGAATCCAGAATTTTCTTTTGTTCTGTGTTTAGCTTTGGGCCCTTGGTTGGGCTCTTTTGGGTTTAGCTTAGGTTGGGCTCCTTTGGGTTTAGCTTAGGTGGCTTCTGTTTGTTTTGTTTGTGTGTATATGGGCCTTTGTTGTAACTTAATGCTGGAATAAAATTTTGTTCCTTTCTACGGAAAGGATTTTACCAATTAAAAAAAAAAAAAAAAAAGGTAAATATCAATTTCGTGATTTTCAACATTTATTACATGAAATTTTTTTTTGTTCCAAGTTATATCTAAAATATTAATTTTGGAACAGTCTCATACATTCGTTTGTGTGACTATTAACTCTCTCAATGATGTAACGTCTATGTGGACAATGATTGAATGATACATGTTATTAAGGAATCCACGTGGAAATCAAAAATTCAAAAAATATTTAAAAATTAATTAAAAAAATATTTATTTAAAGAAAGAAAGAAAAAAAAAACCTAAACAAACAAACCCGAACCCCCTTCCTCCATCCCCACCCGACAACCCCAAAACCCTAATTTCCCCCTCCAAAGCCCCATCAATTCACCATATGTCTATCCCTCCAACCCTGCTTTCATACCCACAGTGCCTACCAAACCTTCCCTCCCACTAATTTCTCCCGCCGCAGGATTCTTTGGTTCGGGACGAACTTGCCGCCGCAGGAGAGAACGTCTCCGCGTCGAAGGTCTCGCGGTCGGCCCTTCTGATCCTCAAGGTTGATAGCTGGGATTCTTTGGGGTTTCAGATGCAGCAAGTGCCAGATGAAAGAGCGGACGGAGAAAGGGTGGCTCGGGTGGGTGATGGGGGATGGGAGAAGGGGGTGCTCGGGCGGAGAAGATGAAAAGGGTAGAGGGGATGGAGGGGTGGAGGGGTTCTGGGTTTGCTTTGGGGTATTTTTTTTATTTATTTATTTTTATTTTATTATATATATATTTTAATAATTATTATAAATATGTTTATTTAATTAATTATTTTAATATTTTTTTGAATTTTTAATTTTCACTTGGATGCTACCCATTTAGTCATTATCGACCTGAGCATCATATCATCAATTACTTAACAGTTAACTTAACAGTCACTATGACTTTGATATGAAAATAATTTTATATACTAAATGTTAAAAAACATAAAACTTGAAGGTTGTTATAAAAGGGTTAAAGTTTGAGAGAATAACCTTTTTAGTAGTAGGTGCAAGGTAGATGTAAAATGCCACACTAAAACTTATAGCACAAGAGGATAACAAATAAAAGGCAAAGGAATAGATGATGTTACTGATATTTCTCTCTTGTTTTCTTCTTCTTATATTTTTTGTTCTATGAAAACATGCGGAGTGCTCTATTTATAGAGCAACTCCAAGTTAATGCATCTTGTAATTTCGTCTGACTATACAATCTCTCACTTTGCATGGGCATTGAAAACTTTGCCCATGCTGAAGACTTTTGTTTTCTGGGCATTCATTGCCATCAGACTGAAGACTTTTGCTTTGTGGGCATTCGTTGCCATCAGACTGAAGACTTTTCAACACTCCCCCTTGGATGCCCACATATCAACATGAGTTGCCTCGTTAAAACCTTGCTTGGAAAAACCCAGTGGGAAAAAACCATAGTGAAGGAAAAAAGAGTACAATTTTTCCTGGATCGTTGATGTAGTGTCAAGTATGCTTATGTTGCCTCGTTAAAACCTTAATAGGAAAAACCCAGTGGGAAAAATCCTAATCGAAGGAAAAAGAGTACAACAAGCATGTATCAGGGATGCTCCTCCTGATATGTATCTCCCCCTGATTCCGCATTCTCCAAATTTAGCTGTTTGGTAAGTCGACGTAATCCGATGCCTTGCACTAACTTCTGAAATATGCACTTTGGTAGAGATTTGGTGAATAAGTCTGCCAGATTTTCATTTGAACGGATTTGTCTGACTTCAATAACTTTAGCCTTCTGAAGCTCATGAGCACTGAAAAACTTTGGAGATATGTGTTTAGTCTTATCGCCCTTGATGAATCCTTCCTTCATTTGGGCAACACAAGCTGCATAATCTTCATGGATGACAGTTGGATTGTCTGCCTTCGAAGTTAGACCACATGAATTCCGGATATGATGGATCATTGATCTTAACCAAGAACATTCACGACTTGCTTCATGTAAAGCAAGTATTTCTGAATGATTTGAAGATGTAGCAACTAATGTTTGCTTGGTTGAGCGCCATGAAATTGTTGTATCTCCATTCTTAAACACATATCCAGTTTGTGAGCGGGCTTTATGCGGATCAGAGAGGAAGCCAGCATCTGCATATCCAACAAGGACCTGGTCATCTGTGAAGTTCTTTGAGTAGAAGAGACCCATGTCTGTTGTCCTACGAAGGTATCGCAATACATCTTTGATACCCTTCCAATGGCGAATTGTTGGAGCAGAGCTATACCTTGCTAACAAATTAACTGAAAAAGCTATATCTGGTCTAGTACATTGTGCTAAATACAACAAAGCACCTACTGCACTCAAATATGGTACTTCTGGACCAAGGACCAGCTCATCATCTTCTTTTGGACGAAATGGATCTTTCTTAATGTCCAAAGAACGAACAACCATTGGCGTGCTTAGTGGATAAGCCTTGTCCATACCAAATCGCTTCAGAATTTTTTCAATGTAAGCTGATTGGTGGACCAAAATTCCACTGGCACAATGCTCGATCTGCAGGCCGAGACAATATTTTGTTTTTCCAAGGTTTTTCATTTCAAATTCGCTTTTCAGATATTCAGCAGTTTTATTGAGCTCTTCAGGAGTCCCAACTAGATTCATATCATCAACATATACTGCCACTATAACGAATCCAGAATTGGATTTCTTAATGAACACACAAGGGCAAATAACATTGTTGATATACCCTTCTTTGATCAAATACTCACTGAGACGATTATACCACATTCGTCCAGATTGTTTCAGACCATACAATGATCGCCTTAATTTGATCGAGAGCATACCTCGTGGTTTATTACTTGTTTCAGGCAACTTAAGTCCTTCTGGGACTTTCATATAGATGTCAGTATCTAATTCTCCATATAGATACGCAGTGATGACATCCATAAGTCGCATGTCAAGTCTTTCTAAAACCACTAAACTTATTAAGTAACGGAACGTAATTGCGTCCATTACAGGAGAGTATGTCTCCTCATAATCAATTCCAGGTCTTTGAGAAAAACCTTGTGCAACGAGTCGTGCTTTGTATCTTGCAATCTTGTTTTTCTCATTGCGTTTCCTTGTGAATACCCATTTGTAACCCACGGGGTTTACACTAGGCGATGTTTGGACTACTGGTCCAAAAACATTCCGCTTTTGCAAGGAATTTAATTCTGCCTGGATTGCATCTTTCCACTTAGGCCAATCCTGTCTCTGTTTGCATTCATCAACAGAGCGGGGCTCAATATCATCACTTAAGATGATTTCAGTGGCTACTGCAAATGCAAACATATCATCAATGATTATTTCATTCTGATCCCACAATTCATTTGTACATGCATAATTTATGGAGATTTCTTTGCTTTCATGTACTTCTGTCTCTTCAGGGACAAATGTCTCATCAAGGACATTTTCTTTTTCTGGAAGTCCAGAATTATGAATTGTGGATGTATCATTCATTTTCTCTTCCTGAATGACTTCATTTGGATTCAGTTGTGCCCTCGACTTTCTCTTTCGAGGAGCTGAATCTTTTGAACCTGGGGGTCTACCACGCTTCAGGCGTGCACCAGATGAATCATTCGCTGCCACTTTATTTTGTCCAACAGGGACATCAATTCTTGCAGGTGCATTTGCAGCTGGTATATTTGATTTTGTCACTTTCATAGCATCATTAAATGCATCTGGCATTTGATTGGCAATGCTTTGAAGATGAACGATCCTTCTCACTTCATTTTCATATTGAATGTTGCGAGGATCAAAATGAGACAAGGTGGGAACAACCCATGTCAGCTCTTTCCGTTCTTCTGGAACAGTCTTTTCTCCCCCTAACAACGGGAAAATTGTCTCATCAAAGTGACAATCAGCAAAACGAGCTGTAAACATATCACCTGTCAAGGGTTCCAAATATCTAATGATAGATGGTGAATCAAAACCCATGTAAATTCCCAGTCTACGCTGAGGTCCCATTTTAGTGCGTTGCAGCGGTGCAATAGGCACATAAACAGCACAACCAAAAACTCGTAAATGGAAAATGTTTGGTTGATGTCCAAACACGAGTTGTACTGAAGAGTATTGATGGTTGGCTATAGGTCTCAATCGAACCAATGATGCAGCATGTAAGATGGCATGTCCCCATGCAGAGACTGGCAGTTTGGTTTTCATGAGCAAAGTGCGAGCTATTAACTGAAGCCGCTTGATCAATGCTTCTGCTAAACTATTTTGAGTTTGGACATGAGGAACAGGGTGTTCAACATTAATGCCCAATGTCATGCAATAATCATCAAAGGTTTGAGACGTAAATTCACCAGCATTATCAAGTCGGATTGACTTAATGGGATAATCTGGGAACTGTGCTCTTAACTTAATTATTTGAGCAAGAAGTCTCGCAAAGGCTACATTCCGAGTAGACAAAAGACAAACATGTGACCATCGGGTAGATGCATCAACCAAAACCATAAAATATCGAAATGATCCACATGATGGTTGAATAGGCCCACAAATATCCCCTTGAATTCTTTGCAGAAATGATGGGGATTCAGCATCAACCTTTAGTTGTGATGGTCTAATTACCAACTTCCCTTGAGAACAAGCTTTGCAAGGGTTATCATTTGAGGCAGCAATGTGTCTGCTCACTAATGGATGTATATTAGAGTTGGTAATGATCCTACGCATCATGGTAGATCCTGGATGACCCAGACGGTCATGCCAAAGCATGTAAACCTTTGAATCAATGAACTTCTGGTTCATGACAGTATGTGATTCAATTGTCCTTATGTATGTATAATATAATCCACTCGACATACCACGCAACTTCTCCAATATACGCTTCTGGGTATCATTGGAGGTAATGCATAGATACTCCATATTTTCTGCACTTTTTGTTTCAATGTGGTATCCATTTAGACGTATGTCTTTGAAACTCAACAAATTTCGAGTAGATCGAGTAGCATACAATGCATTATGTATGGACAATATTGTTCCATTTGGTAACATAATCTGGGCTTGCCCTGAACCTTGAATTAAATCTGAAGGTCCTGATATTGTTGTTACCCCTACTCTTGTAAGTCTTAAGCTTGAGAAATACTTTCGATCACGAAGTATTGTATGTGTGGTTGCACTGTCTGCAAGACAAATATCTCCGCCATTTCTCATGTTCTGAGAATAACCACAATTTTTATCCATACTCTCTGAGTAAGAGAATCAGAGTTAAAAGCAAATTATAACAAGAAATTTACATGCCACTTTTATTGAATCTGAAAATACTACAAGTTCAGCATAATAAAAGTACATTAATGATTCAATCGGACTGGTATATTTCATTTCCCCTTTCCACAATATAGTCTGAAACATCTAGATGAATTGTGTTCAACTGCCCTGATAAGTCAAACACTGGATCAGGTATATCCATTGGTCTAGCCTGGTCGAGAAAGTTAGTCTCAACACCCTTCTCCTTGAAGGAGGCTTGATACAGATCCACTAGATGTTTTGGGGTACGACAAGTACGCGCCCAATGCCCATTGCCACCACACCTATGGCAGGCTCCTTCAGAGTTTCTAGGAGCATTGTTCATATGAGCTTTGCCTTTGTGGCGATTCGCATTTTTGAAGCTCGAGCCTGAATTATTCCTGGGAACCTGGTTATGAAACTGAACTCCATGGTTCTTGCCTTTCCTATTCCATCGACCTCGCTTGTGGCCACGTCCTCGTTTATGATTATCACCACCAGAGGATGTGGCGTTCACTCCGAGGGAAGCAGCATTCACTTCTGGGAATGGTGCAGATCCAGTAGGTCGGGAATGATGGTTTTTCATCAGGAGCTCATCATTCTGTTCAGCTACTAAGAGCACAGATATCAGCTGGTTGTACTCAGTGTAGCCTCGCGCTCTATACTGCTGCTGCAGGAGCACGTTGGAGGCATGAAATGTGCTGAGAGTCTTTTCCAGCATATGCTCCTCAGTAATAATATCCCCACAGAGTTTCATCTGAGAGGTAATTCTGAACAATGCAGAATTGTATTCTGCCACTGACTTGAAGTCTTGAATCCTCAGATGAGTCCTCTCATAGCGGGCCCTTGGAAAAATCACCGTTGTCTGGTGATTGTATTTGTTTCTCAAGGCATTCCAGAGAGCTAACGAATCTTCAACCGTTAAGTACTCGATCTTTAGCGCCTCATCAAGATGGCGGCGAATGAAAATCATAGCCTTTGCCCGATCTAGAGAGGATGAGTTGCTCTCTTCCCTGATGATATCTCCAAGATTTCCTGCTTCCAGATGGATCTTGGTATCCAGTACTCAGGTCAGGTAATTCTTCCCGGTAATATCCAGGGCAGCAAATTCAAGCTTCGCCAAGTTCGCCATTTTCTTTTCTGAAAGAAAATGAGATGTGTAAGAACTTGCAATAATATGTATTCCTGGAGGAATATGATGTTAGAACTTCTGGTTCTTACAAATTTTTCATTTTGATCTTCAGGCCAAAATGATAAGCACTCGAAACTTCTGGCTCGAGATTTTCAAGGTGAATGAGGAGGGCGATCGTACCGCATCATTCTCATTGAAATAATGTAATATAGAATGGGCGATTATTCCGCACCACTCAAGTAACAGGAAATTTAAATATGCAGAGTAGCGTGGGCGATTATACAGCACCACATAAAATTGTAATGAAATTAAACAGCAAGTAAATTCGAATATGCAGGGTAGGGTGTGCGATTATACCGCTCCACCTAAAAAATGCAGTAAAATTAAATTTGCAGTCCAAGATAGGCGATGATACCGCACCGTCTTGGATCGCACTAAGATTAAATTTGTAGTTCAAGATGGGCGATTGTACCGCACCATCTTGGATTGCAGTAGAATTAACACAAATAAATACTGGGTTAGTAATCAATCTCTACACCAAACAAGTAATCAAAGATGTATGTAATCGTTAGTTGGAGAACTAAGAGCAGGCATGAAGCAAACAACTCGTCGCGAGGGTACACGGCGCAGTTGAGGCAGAGGAAGAAGATGAACAGTAAAAACCTTAAAGGAAACATTTTTTTTCTTTCTTTCGTTCGTTCGGCGAAGAGAGATGAGAGAATAATTATATTTAGAGACTCGTGCTGATAACGTGTTATAAAAGGGTTAAAGTTTGAGAGAATAACCTTTTTAGTAGTAGGTGCAAGATACATGTAAAATGTCACACTAAAACTTATAGCACAAGAGGATAACAAATAAAAGGCAGAGGAATAGATGATGTTACTGATATTTCTCTCTTGTTTTCTTCTTCTTATATTTTCTGTTCTATGAAAACATGCGGAGTGCTCTATTTATAGAGCAACTCCAAGTTAATGCATCTTGTAATTTCGTCTGACTATACAATCTCTCACTTTGCATGGGCATTGAAAACTTTGCCCATGCTGAAGACTTTTACTTTGTGGGCATTCATTGCCATCAGACTGAAGACTTTCCAACAAAGGTAATAAGCAGATATTTATCAAAAAAAAAATAATAATAACAATAATATTTTGCCAACAGCAATTCGTTTGTATGGTTAGACTTGTCCCACACACCTGCGTAAGTCAACAACCCACACAAGTTAGAAACAACATGATCTCTCTTCCAACTTGTTTCTTTCTATATTTCTCTCTTGCGCTGGATTATTTTCGTCAGGATTCCGGAAAAGCTTCAACTTGATCAGTCTTTCGTATTCGATCTCTCTAGATCTTAATATTTCCTAATTTCTTTCTTGATTCAGAGGTACTCTCACTGACTTAATTACACTTGGAGAATCAATTACCATATAATTATAGTCTTCTCTTACATTTCTTATAATATTGCAAGGCGACTGTTAATCTGTGGTGACTTTTTGGTCCCTCAGAATGTTTATGAAGCCCACCAAGATAGAAAAATTGTTTTTTTTCATTTTTTTTGTTGATAGAAGTGATTATATTGGGGAAGGAGATTTGAATTCAGTGACCTCGGGTGCATTCAAGGGTAAATGTTCTAAACTAACTGAGATGTATGTCAGTTGTATATGGGGGATTTTGGCTTAATTAAATAAATAATTTCATATTTTGTCATAGTTTAACGGACCCCTTGTGAATGTACATGTGTGTATATGTTATGAAATAGATCCGGATGGATTTGCAGGTTATGAAAAATATATATGGATGGATTGCAGGTTATGAAATATAAATTGTGGGGTTTGCAGGTTATTAGTATGGCTTCTTCCTCTTCCTCTGCTGCTGCTATCTCGTCACCTCGAAGAAAGTATGATGTGTTTCTTAGTTTCAGAGGTGAGGACACCCGCAACACTTTCACCAGCCACCTTCATGCTGCTTTACTTCGAAAGAAACTTCACACCTACATAGATGACAAACTTGAGAGAGGGGATGAAATCAGACCTGCCCTTCTAGAAGCTATTGAGAAATCAAAGCTTTCGGTGATCATTTTCTCAAAAAACTACGCTTCTTCCACATGGTGTCTGGATGAACTCGTCCATATACTAGGATGCAAGGAAAGGGATGGACAGTTTGTTATACCCGTTTTTTATGACATCAGTCCACAGGATGTACGAAAACAACAGGGGAGTTATGCAGATGCATTTGCCAAGCTAGAAGAACGTTTCAAGGACTGTATGGACAAGGTGCTTGAGTGGAGGGATGCTTTGGAGAAAGCTGCCAACCTATCTGGTTATGATTATTCAAACAAAGCCGGGTAACTAACTTTGCAACTCTTGCAGAATTTTTTACTTGTGACCTTTGTTTCAAACAAGATTCATTAATGCAGGACTTAGTAACTATTTTTTTTCCTTCGTGGTTACTTATATTTTCCAGGACAGAGGCCGATTCCATTGAGAAACTTGTCCAAGTTATATTGAACAAATTGGATTGCAAATGCTCAAGTAATTTAAAGGGTCTAGTTGAAATTGAAACCAAAGTTGAGCAAATTGAATCGTTACTATGCCTTGATTCACCGGTAGTTTGCAATGTAGGTATTTGGGGCATGGGTGGTATTGGCAAGACCACCCTTGCTGATGTTGTATATCACCGATTCTCTTCCAAGTTTGAAGGTTGTTGTTTTCTTAAAAATGTTAGAGAAAATTCCGAAGGAAAAGACGGAATATATAACTTACGAAATAAACTTCTCCGTGAGATTTTTGATGATGAAAATATAAATATTAACACTCCATCTATAGGATCAGAGCTTCTTAAAGAGAGGCTCCGTCGTACAAAGGTACTCATTGTTCTTGACGACGTGAATGATTCAAGGCAATTAGAACTTCTAGTTGGAGATGATCTTAAGTTTGGTGTCGGAAGTAGAATCATTATAACAACTCGAGATCGGAGCTTACTCGATGAAAAGGTTGATGATGACAAAATTTACGAGGTCAAGGGATTGGAACATGATGGCGCTCTTCAGCTCTTTCATTTGCATGCTCTGAAAAATAAGTCTCCTACGACAGTTTATACAAAGTTTTCAAGAAAGGTGATAGATTATATTCAAGGCATTCCATTGGCTCTTAAAACTTTGGGTGCCTTATTCCGTCGCTGCGATACAGAAGAAGACTGGGATGAAGAATTGAACAGATTGAAAAAATTTCCTAGCGAAAAAATTCAGAATGTGTTGAGACTTAGTTATGATGGATTAGAAGAAAATGAGAAGGAATGCTTTCTCGACATTGCATGCTTCCTGAAAGGAGCAGATGTTTTTACTGCAAAAAGAATATTAGATATTCGGGGTTTCTTCGTGACGGGAATCCAAATTCTCATTGAGAAGTCTCTCATATCAATTTCAGAGATGAATTGCTTAGAGATGCATGATTTGCTGCAAGAAATGGGCCGGACAATTGTTCGTGAACAATGCAGGGACGAGCCAGGAAAACGTAATAGGTTGTGGGCTGCTGATGATGTCCATCAAGTACTGGAGAATGATATGGTAAGAATAAAAAATCATGAACTTTCTACGACAGGGGACAGCGGAAACTCATTTTGTATAAGCATATGTCAACAAAAGTAGTTTTTAGTAATCTGTGTTGTACATTTATTCTCATTATACTATTTTCTCTTGATTTCCAGGGAACTTCAACAGTTCAATGCATATCCTTTGACACGTCTAACTTTACAGGGTTGGAATTATGTGGATCACCCTTCAAGAAGATGTCTAATTTAAGATTGTTGGTGATTCATGATCCTCATCTAAGAGTCGAGTACAACTATGGCTTTGATTTTGGTTCAAAATTGGTGAAATACTTATTCTATGTTCCTCGCTTTGGCAAGAGGTACAACAACAATCTGGACCTTTCTCAAGGTCTTCAGTCTCTTCCCAATTCTCTCAGGTATCTTTACTGGCAGGAATACCCGTTGAAATCTCTTCCAACAAAATTTTCTCCACAATATCTTGTTGAGCTTCGATTGCCCTACAGCTTTGCTGGGAAAAAACTTTGGAGTAAAAACCAGGTATATATATGCTTCCTCTTCTGTTTTTCAATTTTTTTTTAATACAAGTATGTGTGCTTACTTTTGTTCTTCGTATAAACTATGGTGCCTCTGGAAATCTATTTGGCCGAAGTCAATAATGTTCTTCTTTCCATTTCTCTTTAATATGTTACAGAATATTGGGAACTTAAAAGTGATTGAACTAAGTTTTTGCAAGCATCTGACTGAAGTTCCAGATCTCTCTCGCTGTCCAAAAATTGAGCATATAGATCTTTACGGCTGTACGAAATTGGTTCGAATTCCTTCCTATTTTAAACATCTTGACAAGCTTACGTTTCTGAATCTGGGATGGTGCACAAGTCTAAAATTTTTACCAGAGCTCCCAGTGCTACGTTGTCTTCAAGCAGAGGGCTGCACTTCACTGAAGACAGTTTGCAGTTCAAGAAATTCACTCACACAAGCTTGGGATAAATATGAATTGTTTCGGGGGCGTTTTCATTTTGGTGAGTGCACAAACTTGGATGAAAATGCAAGGACCAATATAATGGTGGACACACGGTTGAGAATTATGCGGGTGGCAACCGCGCCAGTGAATTCACTCACACAAGCTTGGGATAAATATGAATTGTTTCGAGGGCGTTTTCCTTTTGCTGATCACCAAAACACGGTCTCTCTCTCTCTCCTTCTCACACATGCACGCACGCACACACACGCACACTTTCGTATCTCCCTCATGCCATTTTTTCACGTGTTGAATAATTTATTTGATGTCCATGCATCGATGTTACAGGAAATCTCTGATGAGACTTTAGTTAGCACTATATGTGTGGGAAATCAAATTCCACATTGGTTCTGCCATCAAAATAAGGGATCTACGATAACTATCAAGCTTCCTTCAGATTGGTATGGTACAGATTTTTTGGGTTTTGCTTTCTCTCTTGTTGTCGCTGACAATGCCATACCTTTTTTCCTTTCTTTGGGTTTCATGAAGATTGTATGCAAGTGCAATTTCAAAACTAATAGTGGCCAAAGTCATGAAATCATTTATCCTTCCTTTATTCCTTTTACTGAAAGAGAGGGTAAGCTTTCTTATTTGCCGTTCGAATTCATATTTGTGTGGTTTAGTGCGTTTGCACTTGGGGAGGGAGCAAATTTAAATCGCTCCACTTCTTTTTACAACCTTGTCACTGAGGTCTGTTTTGAGTTCAACGCTGGGGATGCCCACTTCGGCGACCGATTAACGGTGAAAAGGTGTGGGATCAGCCTGTTGTATGCTCAAGATGTCGATACCATCAAGTCGGGAGGAACTACGGGTTGGAGTAGCCAAAAATAGAAGTTAGAAATGAAAAATTAAGAATTTGAGCTCTTATTGTTTGTATTCTCATCTTTTAAGCTGTTTGTAAGCCTTGTGGCCGAGGGATTCCTTGTATTAGTCTTTGTTGTTGTAGCGCTTTGGCTTTCCAAGTAATTTACAAGAGGCATTTTGATACAGATGATTCAATTTTAAATTTTTTATATCAAACATCTATAGCTGCTGACTCTTTTTTTTTTTTAACCATCAATATCATGGGTTTAATAGAGAAATATCAGTAGATTGTAGTATTAATTGTTATAGCTTTTAGGCTTTTGATCAAACACTCTTTTATTAATTTTTACTATTTCATTTACTTAATTTATCATTTAATTCACAAATTAATATAAAAAAAACTCCAAAAATCACGTAGTCTTATCTTATCTTATCCTATAATAATTCATTTCATAATAATCACTAACAAAAGTGCCCCGCACGTTGCAGAAAACATAAATTATTGAAGCTAGATTTATAGAAATTGGCAGTGTTCATAGTTATCAAAAGATTGAGATTGTTTAATTGCTCACTGTTCAAAAGATAGAGATGCTTGGAAGCTAAATTTATGTAAGTTCATAGTTATCAAAAGATTGGCAGTGTTCACTCTTTATTCAATTGAGAGAGGCATTTTCAGATTGTGAGGGGAAGAGAAGACTCGTCCCATCTTCCAGCTTCAATACAACTGTCTGTGGCGAAGCATATCGGGAAGATGTCTTCCCTGAGGATTGTTTATAAGGATTCATAATTTCAATTTTAGGACAAAAATAGAAAAAGACTTGAAATTACGCTCGCGCGTTGCTGCGAGAACCAGCTGTTTCAAACGTAATCAGATGGATAAAACACATTTAAGTTGAATAAATTTAAGATAATTACGAACAAATGCCCGTGCATTGCTGCGGGACTTGAATGCACCAACCTTAACCACATGAATAAGACATTTAACCTGAAGAAAAAAAAAATCAACATAATCATGAACGAACAAAAGGGATAGATGACTGAAAGGTATCGGTAAGATGAGCAGTTCGGCTTTTATATACATTCAACCGAGCTGATTACAAAAGATACAGTTGCAAAAAAATGCTCTGTTTCCTAAGAAACAGAAGCAACATGCATTTAACACTTATATTGCCCTTTAAGTTAAGATGGCAAAATATATGTCCTGCAGGCCAGACACATGTTTTAACAGCTAAACAAAAAAGCAAAAAAAGTGTGTTGTTCTTGTTTCAGCAGCTAATCTTTCAAGCACTAATGTATGGATTAATGTGAAATATCTGAGATCCTATTTGTTTTTTATTGACTGATGCTTCAACATCATCCACCTAATTCATATCACATCCATAGATACCTGAGAATGCTTATTCCCACCACCATTGCGTTGTTAAGTCATCGGATCTTAATACAGAAAAGGGCCAAATATTTTTTAGGTTCAAAACAAATGCAAGTGCGATTACAATAGCACTAACCCTTCTTAATTTTGGACACCGCAGCCTCCTAACTCAACTTAATAAGTAACAGTCTAATTCTTTCTTAGCCAAAACTAAGCCGAAAATTGTCAATCCCATAACCGACATAGAAAACAACTCCAAATTCTCATTTCCAAACTGAATTTCCAATTTCCAAACTTTCCGAGCATCCAGACAAAGGATAGCCAGAAAAGCCAACACACGCAGAACTCGATAAGATTCAATATTACCCAGATGAGGGAATTCGATGATCATTACAGCGACATTTCAATGCAATCTATCCTTTTAACAAATCCAATTGTCATATGTTCACATTAACTTCAATTTTTCCAATTTCTAACAGATAAATGAAAACAACTACGTATCAGAAAAATGGAGGAACAATAAAAGGAATAACAGTATTTGAATCCACATAACAATTTAAGTAGGCTTAGTAGATATACAAGTAATCCAACACAAGAGCATTGGGATGCTTTAGTAAGAGTGTTACGGTATTTGAAAAATACACTTGACTATGGATTACACTACATAAAATATCCACCTGTTGTAGAAGGCTTCAGTGATGCCAATTGGATTTCTGACACAACAGAATCCAAGTCGACAAGTGGATATGTTTTTACCTTGGGAGGTGCAGCAATATCTTGGAAATCCTCTAAACAAAAATGTATAGCTCGTTCCACCATGGAGTCAAAGTTTATAGCTTTAGACTTGGCTGGAGAAGAAGTCGAGTGGCTCAAACATTTTCTTGAGGATATTCCAGTGTGGCCAATGCCTGTAACTGCTATATGTATACATTGTGACAGTATGGACGTGCAATCAAGGGCCAAGAGTCATGTATACAATGGAAAGTCGCAACACATCAGGTGTCGGCATAATACTCTTAAGAAGTTGCTCTCCAATGGAATAATATCTGTTGATTATGTAAAGTCAAGGGAAAATACAGTTGATCCTTTGACAAAAGGCCTACCAAGAGAGCAAATATTATTTACATCGAGGGGAATGGGTCTCAAGCCAATTCAATGAATCGGACTGGGCGGAAACCTAACCTAACTGATTGGAGATCCCATGGTCTAGGTTTAATAGGCAAACTGGTTGAGTTTGATTCACAAGTTGAACACACAACTTACCCATTATTATGATAAAATGTGTGTTGTCTGTTGAGTTCGAGGGGTTATGTTTTATACATTTAATGACATTAATATCTTGTTATCAAGAGGAATATGGCAGACTATTCTTAATTAATGTCACCTATATAGGAGTAAATGGGGCCGCATTTATGAGAATTGAAATGGCTAAATTCTTTAAAGCTCCTACGAAATCTAGGATATGTTCAGGGCCAAAATGAACACAACCGTACGAATTGACGTGTGGCAGACATGCTATGTGTGTAGCATATTGTCTCGGTTTACTACTGCGGTGAACAGTTCAAGATCTTCCACATTTATTGTGTCACCAAGTAAACCCGATATGTTTTCACTAGGGTAAGTTCAAGTCCAAAAGACACTTCACCCGATGCATATCATGTCTATTCTCTCTCAATTTTAGGCAGCCTACTCATACATTTGCATTCAAGTGCAGGGTATTGTTGGAGTTTGAATGAAATTTCAACTCAAATGTGGGGTATCGTTGGAAATTTTGAGTAGAAATTTCATTATCCCATATTAGCCATTCCTAAAAGATTTCCTCACTTTATAAGGTTTTGTCTCTTATAAATAGTTATTGGAGTAATGGACCATTGAAAATGAAATTGGGCTCAACCTTGGGGTTGGGCTTTCTCATACCTGTTGCGAACATGCATAATCTCACTATATATACATCCATCGCCAGAAGTCAGTTTTCCAGTGCTGGAATTCTAACTTAATTGTTGAATCCTGATGAAGCAGACGTCTGTAAAACTACAAGCACTAAGTAGGGAGCACTGAGTAGGGACGAAATTTCTATTTCAAGGACATTGCAGTACACAAGCCTCAATCTTCAATATTTTTGTTTAATATTATTTCATTGTTCATACACTATTAATTAGTTGTTCACATTTATTATTTATTAGTATATATAAATTTATCACAGATTGTTGACATATATCCAACAAATTTAACATGCTCCACTACACTTTACAAACTTGTCTCTGACTTGACGAAACAAAAACTTGTCACTGAGGCCTCATTTGACTTCTGCGTCCATGACATGTCAGATTATCCTAAAGACCCGCTACAAGGTTGAAGGTGGAAAAGTGTGGCCTCTGCTTGTTTGTATGCACAAGATGCTGCTGAGATCGTCACGTCGGAGGGAACTAACTGGTGAAGCACAAAGAAGAAAAAATTAGAAAAATATTTAAGGAGAAAGATCAACAAATGTGGTAGGCGACTAGTTCGGGCCTTGTCTTCTTGTTTGTAATTGCACTGTGGCTATTAAAACATTGAATAAATTCCTTACTTCCGAATTCGTCTCCTTAGTTATAGTTCCTTGTATATCAAGTAAATGGTCATTATAAGTATCGTATACGGTAGGGATTTAATTTAACCCTATATATATATATTGAGGAATGTCTGCCCTAGTTTTAGTCTTTCCTTTGGCTTTGGAAACTCAATTATATTGCAATGGAATTATTGAAGTTCGTAAGTGGTTGATGTTAATAATTGGACTTCGCATTTCTACAAACTAGCCCAGTAATTTCCTTCATTTCAATCAATTAATAAAATTGTTACAAGTCCAAAGAGGAAACATGCCAAATGGTAGACCTGGCATTTTGGACCCGACCTGACCTGATCTGTTAATATTAGTATTTGGATGGATGTTTAGCGGGTTGGGTCGCTAACGGATGAACCCGTTAAATAACAGATCACTTTGGGTCAACTCGTGAGCATCCGTTAGTTGAGGATGTTGAGTAATTTCACTTTGGGTGCATGTTTCTCATTTAATGTTTTGCTCTTGCTTAAACAATACTACTCCAACACTTTTGGGTTTGCCTGCATAGGGCGAACCCTAAAATGAGAGCGGTCCAAGAGACAAGTTTTCTCCTGGGCATTCCATCAAACAGTTAGTGCGTGTAGTCCAAGTGACCAAATTTGGCATACATATTGATGAGGTGGTTGGTGACAAAGAGGTCGGGTGGGTGGATGGGGTTGTGGGCGATCATGTAACGGTGCAAAGAGAGGCCGTCTTGGAGGCGGCAGTGGCGGGCACAGGCGTGGAAGAGAGTGGCGTAGGTTTGGGGGCAATGAGGTGGTGGGGGTGAAGGGAGTAGAAGAGTGAGAGCGCTACCTGGAGGTGGCCACGGGTGGCGAGAACCCGCACCTGACCGAGCATATCATTATCATTGGTTTGCACGTTGAGCAAGGTGAAGGATGAGGTGAAGGTTGTCCGATGAGAGATGCGAGACGCGATGGTGAGAGCACATGGGCGTAACATGACACTTGTTCGTGTGTGGGTTCCTCCTCGACCTTGACCTCGACCTCCCAAGTAGTCAGTAAAGCCATTGACACCACTGACCCAAAAAAAAAAAAAATTGTTAACGGGAGTTAATGGGTGGCCTATTAGATTAACGGGTTAGGTTTGGATGACCCGTTAGCTTAACGGGTCAGGTTCGGATGACCCATTAGCTTAACAGGTCATATTGAACCAGATCCAAACCCAACCCATTTATAGGACTACCAAATGGTAAGTGTTTTTCCTTTCACCTT